AAACTTTGCAACCATGAATCCCCTGTTAGTGGCTTTTGCAGAGATGAGAAGAATGGATGCTTTTTGCATGTTGCTTGAGCAGATGAAGAAACTGGGATTTCTGTGCTTGAAGATCTTTCCAAGTTCTTATTTGTGATTGGAAAGGAGGACAGAACAATGATGGCCTTAGAAGCATTTGATGACTCAAAAGTGAAAGATTATCGTAGCGTTTCAATTTACAATATTCTTATGGAGACTCTTTACAAGATTGGCAAGGTAAAGAAGGCATTATCTGTATTTGGGGAAATAAAGGTTTCAAATCTCATGCCAGACTCAACTTATAGAATTGCGATAATGTGTTATGCTGAAGAGCAGGATATCAGGAAGCATGCCTTTGCCATAATAAAATAGGAGAAATGTCATGTGTTCTTTCTGTCGATGCTTATCGTTCTCTTGCTAAAGGTCTATGCAAAATCGGAGAGATTGATGCACCCATGATGCTTGTTGATGATTGTTTAGCAAATGCCACTAGTGGGCCTATGGCATTTAAGTACACTCATGCTGTTATTAATGTGTGTAGATCAGGTGCTGAAAAGGTAATGGAAGTGATGAATGAAATGCTGCAAGAAGGTTGCCTTCTGGATGATGTTTTATGTTCCACTATTATATCTGGAATGTGCAAGCATGGGACAATAGAAGAGGCAAGGGAAATCTTCACAAATTTAGTAAAGCGCAAACTTTTATAGAAGCCAGTGCAATTGTATATGACACAATATTAATTGAACACACACAAAAAAAAAAAATAAAGAAAAAAAGACGGCAGACCTAGTCATCTCAGGGTTGAAATTCTTTGGTTTAGAATCGAAGTTAAAAGCAACGGATTGCAACCTTTTATCGGGTTGAAAAACTGACAGTGGTAATTTTTCCAATATCCAGTTGTCTGTCTGTATGCATGCTTACCTCAGTGAATATGAAGAACAGAGTCTGATTGGGGCCTGGAGCATGTATATCCTGTTGTAGAGTAGTTTGTCTGTGAGGGCAATATCAGTGAGCTCCATGAAACCATATGATTGTTTGGTGTTGGTTCACCAATTGAAAAGTAATGGTATATTGTAGATTGACCAGGCAGCATCCCTCCACAAGTAAGTTTGATACCTTAACTCTACCCGGTATTATCCCTGCACAAGTATGATACCTTAACTCTACCCAGTACCAAGTATTGAACTTCTTTGAACTTATTCTTTTCTGATAAGTTTGTACTGCTCCCTTACATACTAGACAATTGCCAATCAAGCCATGGCATGACAATAAGGTAGAGGTCCTGAAAACCATGAGTTACAGTTTGAGTTTTGCCATATGCAGATTTAATCACCTTTATATGTTGATTCCATATAGTGTTCAATGATCCATATTGTATTTAAAGATTTTACTAACCTGTGCCCTTGAGGGTATAATTATTATATTTTTTTCTCATTAATTATTATTAAAAAAATTAAAGTTAATTTTTGTTTAAGTAGCTCTTTAATTAGAAGAGTTCATATGATGTTAGTGATGAAATCAATGATAGTTTTATATTTTTAATAATAATTAATAAAAAAGAGTATAATAATTACACTCTTAATTTGTACCCTAAAGACACAGGTCAGACAAATTTTATATTAATTCCACATCTTTTTCCTTAATTGATGGATGTAATATTCTCACTGAATGGTGAAAAATGGATCAAAAACTTGTGTTATCAATTTTTTTTTCTTCTTGCCTATAAAAACTTTATGTTATCAGTAAAACACAATCAAATATATGATTCCTAATTAATTAAAGAATTTGAAATCTAGATTTGCCTTGTGAAGGTTTTAGTTGATTGAGAATAACAGTTATTTTTGTATTTTCTTTGAATATGTGATCTGTCATTCATGTTTTCTGGCAAAGCTATAATTACAATGTTTCGTGGGATTGTAAAATTTATAATCATAACATGTGATAAAGTGAGTAAATATATATAATATCATAGGTAGAATCTTAAATGAAAAGAATCAATCTTATAATAAAAGATTGTAATTATAAGTTTAAAATGTCATGACATTATAATCATATCATTTTCACTTTTTTTTTTCTTTTTTTTTTGCGGCGGGATGATATTGCTAATCAGCTTCATCCCTCTTGCTTCGCATATAAACTAAATCATGTTTAACAAATTCAAAACCACATGAGATCCATTCTGAAAGAAAGCGCTTTTGATTTCACTGCATTCTATTAAGGAAACACATGATACTACCACATCAATCATGGATCAATATGTCAATCACATACAAGGGATATCAAGTCCTAATTATTCTCACAATCAGTTTTACCAATCATATATTCTGCATATATGAGGATTTTTTACATTATGTATATTTCTACTTTCAGTAGATCTTTCCATAAGAATTAACTAGGGCAACATCACAATCTGTATATATATGTAACCTCAGTGAATAATGAAATCATCTTTCCCTCTCAGCCTCTTCTTTCACCCTATTACGTTCGACCTTCAAAATTCGACCAAAAACAAAGTGTTATGGGATAATATAAAAACAGGTAAAATAAGAACTTGGGATAATTGAAAGAGCAACACTAAAAGAATTATTCTCAAAAAAGAAAAAGGAAAAAAGAGCAACACTAAAAGAGGAAAAAAAACTCATAACTTCTACTCTTATTTCAGATAAAGTATAGCTATTGATAGTTTGAAACATAATAGATTGTAACTCCTTTTTTTTTTTTTTTTGGTAAACAAAAGATTGTAACTCTAAAATTGAAATATAGGAGACATAAATGTGCTAGTAAATCTCAATAAATTATTAGCCATTAATTGGAAATATTGGAGGTAATTGTCTTCCATTGGAGAATAAATGTCCAAAATGAACTTTTAATGAAAATCATCTATTAGTCATATTTTGATGTAAAAAAAAGTAACAATCATATAATTAGTTTTAGGCTTCGTTTGGTATAGCGGTTTTGGAGTAGTGGCTAGCGGTTTTACCTAAACCGCTAAATATAAATGTTTGGTAAATTTATATATTTCGAAACCATTACAACTAAAGTATTTGCTAAAATTTTTATTTAGCGGTTTGAAACAAACAGATAGCGGTTAGGGTCTAAATCGCTAACGGATTAAAAAAATTAGTTTATATAACTTTTTGTACCAAACCGCTAACAGATTAAAATTTTTTAATTTTATTGACAAATTTATCCATTTTAAATTTTTAGTTTGTGGTCACATTTTTTAATTAATAATTATCTAATCAATTTCAATTTTGTTTTTTTACCTTTAATAATATCAAGTGATTATAATATTTTTTTGTACATTAATTTATAATTAAAAAATATATTATCTTAAAAAACAAAATTTGTTAATTA